ATACACAATTACACACAGTGTATCAGTGGTGGAAACTCTGTTTTGTAATGAACTCCCAGAACTCCAACAATCCAGGGAGAAAGGACAGTGTCAACAAATGGTTCTGAGAAAATTAGATCTATACATGCAGAAGCATGAAACAAGATATCTGAGTCACATCCTGTCCCCAAGTCTAAATGGATCTAGGAGCTCAATTTGTGACCTGATACCATCCAATTACTAGATGAAAACATCAGAAAAACTTGGAAAAGACCCCAGAAGTGGAGGCCATTAAAGCAAAGATACATACGTGGGATTCTATCAAGCTAAGACCCTTCTACACCGCAAAGCAAATGGCTGATACAGTGAAGACATGATCAAACAGTCTGCGAGAAAATAATTGCAAATTCTGCAACTAACACATGTTTAATATCTATGAAGAGGTCAAGCAACTCAACAAGAGGCAATATCCAAGGGACAGAATTCACATGATGAATAGACCAGTGTGTCTAGGCATTAAGGAAATGCAAAATATAAAACTCAATGAGGTTTTACCTGACTCTTGTTAGAATGGTTAACACGTAAAAATCAGAAAATGGTAAATGCTGATGAGGGTCCTAATCCACTCTGTGTGGGATGTGAAGTGGCAAAATCTTTTAAGGAGCACAATTGGGAGGTTACTAGGATCTGAAATTAGATCTAACATATGACTCAGCCACCCCACTCCCGAGAGTGCACCCAAACAAGATTAACATACATCAGTTAACTATAACTTGTCAATATCACACTACATTTGCTATCTTTGCCTAGACCTGTAATTCCATGATGAACATAACTGGCAGAATGTTAAGCTGGTAACCGTTACAGGACTAAACTACTGTCATAATGGGGGGGGGGGCGGTGAGAAGGGAATATGGAGAGGGAAAAAGAGAAATCCCCTATACTACAAAAAGTACCATGGAAAAATGTAAACATGGCTGTACAAAAAACTTTTAATTATCAGCACAGCTCACAGTTACGACTCTCCAACTCATTTGTCCATCAACAGATGACCGGGAAAGAATCCGTGGATATATACACTATGGAATGTGGCTCAGCAATAAGAAATGAGTCAAATCTTTTGCAGCTCAATGGTGGACAAAACTGGAAATGGTTTTATTCAGTGTAATAAGGTAGCTCCAAGAAGCCAAATATCATCTTTTTCTGGACAAGTGATAAACACAAAATTGCACAGAATGCAAAGATGTAATCCACAGGAGCAAGTTGATACTGAGATTTGATTGTTACAGTCCAACTTTGTTTTTTAACTTGCTGTGTGTGGAAATATTTACCTAACTGAATGTGAAGCCTGAGACTACGAAATGAAATCAAAGTACACCATTGTTTAAAAAAAAAAAAAAACAGCAAAGGAAGGGCGATGGACAACAAGGGCATGGGGCTGGAAGCATCTCTGGGCTCCTGAATCTGCACTGTGAAATATTTCAAACTTGTTCATTTGATATAAATAAGGTATAAAAACAGAACACTTAGTATATATACTTAGGACGATATTCCTCAGCCACCAAAAGGAATACAGTCCTGACCATTTCAGCTGAACAGATGCAGCGGAGGGTCACCACTGCAAGTGAAAAAAGCCAGTCTCTTACTCATGGAAGCTAGTATATAGTCTCCACATGATGTTGGTGCCATACGTTTGGTATGCAGTTATAAACCCTGCTGCATTCGGTCAGGCCCTATATAGGATAATATGCCCCTTTCCACCATTTTGCAGTCGCTGCCACTAATCCCTGACTCTGATATTATTGTCTGTTTTCAAGAAACTAAAATCAAAACCAAAAATGCTACTTGGAATAATTTAAACAAATGGTGTTTGAAAGGATAAAATATTTACCTTGATTAGGTTTTTTTATTTCTGTTTTTGATGATGCAATTCCATAGGCTCAGGGATTTCCTGTTATCAGCATTACCTCGTGACCCCAAAGTAATAGAATGTGCAATTTTCTGCTACCTTTTCTGTCTTTTTTGAAAAGGCTTTCTGTATCCGTGACTCTTCTTTACACAAACGGTATTGCCCAATGGATGCATGAGCAGGATCTGCCACCACCAGCACACGTGCTGTCCGAGCTTGGCCCCTTTAGAATAGCACTCCTTTTCTCAGGTGCTCTTCTAGACCCATGTGCAACTTTTGATATAATAGGTTAGTGCCAGGCATTCATCCTATATAAGAACTAAAAACTAAGAGCAGCACTGCATCTGAAAATCAAACCACCTGTCATCCTGTGGTTTGTTGCCCACTGACGAGAACCGAGTTGGTCATGGAGATGTGATTCCCATAAATAATGAGATCATTCACAACCCTTCACAACACTGCACTGGTGAAGAGCTTGCCAGCACTCCCCCTTTCTGTCTGCATTGTCATGTGACTGATGAAACGTGCAGATGTAATGGAGACGGAAGCAAAGCTAAAAGCAACACGCAGAATCCAAGTTATCTAGTACAGTACACAATACGCATTTTTAAAGCCCTAAGTGACTTCCAGCACACCCTGTTCATTACCCTATAGAAACTGGTACTGTAATCATTTGCATGGATCCTTTTTAGAGGGCACATTACTAAGGACCAACACGTAACATACCAGCAGTCGAGTATTTTTCCTTCTAAACTATTCACTCTAGACTAGTCAATCCCCTCTTGGAGCCAACTACTGCACATCGAGGAGGAGTTACTTTGCCAAGGTTGAAAAATCTGAACCTAGGGAACAAGCATGCCCCCATGCCATCGCCAAAATATTCTAGGAAATTATTTTTCATAATTACACATGCCTTAAATTCACTGATATCCTTGTTGGGAGTTGTCTGACATTTAATATGTCATGGCTTACCTTTCACATTCAAATAATACAAAGCCACCCTCCTTATTTGAGTTGTAAATTCCCTCAAAACTAGGCAATTTTGTGACCCAAGTGTTGGCAATAGTTACGAATCGCTATGAAGCTGTTTTAACTTTTAATCTACCAACTGTGACCCCCCTTCCTGTTTACCATATAACTATCACTGTTTTCAGAATTCAGTGATATATTTTCCCCTCTTAATATAAAACCTTTCAGATTTTCAAGTTATGACAATGCAATCAGGAGGAAATTCAAACCGAAGATATGTTTTATATTAAGTAACCTTTGCCCTTGTTGAAATTCGAAGTTTTTTTCAACTTTGATCTTTTCAAATGGTGAAAACAACTTTGTACTGCATCACTTTGTCAGACTAAGCTCAGTGCACTCCGTGACTATAAACAAAATATTGACAATTTCAAAAGTATTCAATGTGTACATGGAAGGGAACTGATAATTTTATGTAATAGGAAGAGAACAAAAAAAAAAAATCACCCATGTAGGAGTTATGATATGCTCAGGAAACTAAGTACACACATGCATACTAACATATACAGTATTTCTATGAACAAAATATTTTCCATCACAATTGTTAAATGCAGAATAAAATTAAATGCTATCCTCTTCACCCACTAAGGAAAGATACAAAATCTTATAAAACTAAATGTAAACAAAGTACAAGAAAAGAGCTGCTCTTATGGGCTGCTTCTAGAAAGAGTCTACGAAACAGAAAAGGCCAAATGCCTTATGAACATGTATCTGGTTTGACAAAAGTGGTTGCACTTTCTTGATTGGTCCTGATAAAACATCCAAGATGCCCCAAAATACATACAAAAATATGCTGATCACTTCTTTATTCAATTACAAACAACTAGAATACCCATGAATAAAAATCATTAAATATTTGTATAACCATGTAACTGAATGGACATGAGAATATCTACTGCCTTAAAATATTCTAAATATATCTGACGTGAAAAACAGCAGTTAAAAATAGAATGTGGTTTGAGTTCCATCTGCTTTATATCTAAACCTAGTTCTGCGTACATTGCCTTCTGCTCATTTTTTTCAGACTTTCTAATATATTCCAAATAGAAAATCTTTAGCAGCATTTTATACTTTTAGGGCTGTGTCTACTAAGCAAAACTAAGTGAAAATAAATATACATCACATAGTACAGGCTCCTCAAAGGAAGAAAATACAGTGCGATTTGAAAATATTCATGGAACAATAGAATGAAAGGATGCTTTTATTTTAGTGCAGTTTTTTTGTAAACTCCTGCCTAATTTTCCCATCATACATATTTTCCATGACCCTTTTGAAAAACCTTTTGTATTTTAATAATTATTCACAGAACTGTCCTACTGGTTGCTCTTGGTACTGTATATTAGTAAGTTAAAAACCTGTGACATTTATCACAATTCATTAGTTTAAAAGTTTTTTAAAAAAATCACTTCTTAGGAGTGTTTGATTTTTCTGTCATTTTTTTCCTCCACAGATTTTTCGCCCTCCTCCTGTGGATCTAGAATTTGGAATCCCTTAGATACCAGGTTACTATTTCAGTAAGGTGCAGAGGACCAGCTAACTCCCTGAAGTTCTCTTCAAATATTAGCACACAGGGTGGTATTTTTACCTCTTTTTCATGATGGCCAGCTCTTAACATCTGAACCTGGCAAGGGGACCAAGCTAGCTGTAAATCTTACCACCCAGACCACACTTGATTATTGTATGATGGCAAAATTAAACGTGAATAAAACAACTAGAGCATTCGGGTGTTCTTGGAAGAATAAACATGAGTTGGAAGTCTTCTGTGGACAGTGCAAAGTACAGGAAACCCATCAATCATGCAAACATCAAGCGAGCAGTCAGTGAGGAAGCTATTGGAGCCTGTCGGGCGCCCCCAGCCATAAAAGGCTTATTCCATTTCTTTTCCCTTGCGCTCAGCTTAGGGAAACGACAACTATGAAGTCTCTAGCAGATCCCAATGACTTCCTCAGTGCTTATTCTTGCTTAAAGGCACCTCTGAACAGCGTGCACTCCAACAGACTGCAGAGGAGTTTCGCTTGCTGTAAACTGGGCACAGACATGCCACAGTGCCTACCTCCCTCACGTGTGATCCTCTCCCCACCAACAGGAAACTGTTAAGGCAGCAATAAGAGAGGAGCAGAAGCGGAGTGAAAAGGCTGTGGAAGAGGCAGTGAGAAGAACAAGAGAGGAATTGATAGAATATGTAAAAGAACAGAAAAGGGTAAGTGTATCCTGCAAAGGTCTCATTTGTACTTCCATAAAATTTAGCCGTGCTTTCCATACATTAACACAAATTTTTAGATACTCACAAACTTAAAAATGTATAGAATGCCTATTGTCAATTTGATTTAGGAATCCCATCTGTGACTCCGAATGCCTTCTTTCCAAAAAAAAAAAAAAATCAACAATAGTTTCTTGCTAAAGGTCATTTTTCCTTTTACACTCAGGAAGATAATAGCTCTAGATTTTAGGGCTGTTTACATCATATTTGAGAGTCTGTTGTAATATTTCTAGGAATTTGCATGCCGCCATTAAGCTTTCCCGCTGCATTCACTCCACTGTGGTTCTATAAGACTTCATTACAGTCAGAGTGAGGCTGTTCCTGTGTGTTCCCATGTCACAGCCTTTGCTCAGATCAACCTGTCAGGAAGCAGGGAGCATAACTGAAGCTTGGCAAAAAGCATCATTTCAGGACAGTGATCTTGTAATGTGGAGCTGAATCTAGAGGGTCACATTGCTTGGTTTTTTCAACAAGTCTTAATAGTCTTCAGTGGTACAGTTAAATATACTTTAAAGTTAACTATACTTTAAGAGAAAATGTTCAGCACAATCTGTAAGAAACATCCTATGCATTGTATAATAAAAGTTCTCACGATGTTTTATTACGCTGTAGTATTTACATTCTATAAGTGAACACTATTTTATGTACTTTGTATGTCTACCAGTGCATATGGTAGACAGCATGTAGTTACATAATGATTCAGTCCTGTAACAGTGTTGAATATTTGAAGAAACTTAACACAATGTCTAAATTTAGTTAACCAATGCCAAAATCAACAGCAGATGTAAGATCCTGTTTGCCCCCTGCAGCTAAGCGGTAAGAGGTGCTGTACTAGATACTCGTGAGACCACCTGAGTCTTGTACCTTTAACCTGAAGTCAGATTTGAAAGGATACAAGGAAAATCCCCAACTCTCAATAACTGCCAGGGAGCTACAGCAAAGGATCAACAGCAAGAAAAAGCAAACACTAAGTTGTCTTTCCAAGTCAATCAGCCATCCACTAAAGCCTTCTGTGTGGGATTCAGCCTGTGGAGCTTTCATTGTGGAGGTTGTAACATTTTCACTCAACCCTGTTCCCCGAGTGTTGCCTAACTCTGAAGGGAACCGGGAGCCACACAGACTCTGCTTCGTGGGGAGCAGCGTGTTCTCAGCAGATTCTGATACCATCTGTGTACCCCAAGAGTTAGTTGCAATGAAGCCAGTTCAAAACTAGTCAACCAGCAAAGAAATTCTAGAGACTTGGCAGGTACGTTCTGGTCAGTGACAGAGAAGATTCAAAATTCATGTGGTTCTCCCTGTGGCTGTATGCCTTTTTACCATGTTCTTGTGGTAAGACTGCCGACCACTGGAGCTACTGTCTCACAGCACAGTGCAGGGCGGACAGGAAGTCACCACCGAGAGTGGAGCAGCACCCGACTTCGCTGCTACCTTTAGAGTGACTACTGTCTGGAGACACTGGCTTCCTCCAGGCAGGATGTCAGATTCCTCCCACAATGGAATCATGCAATACTTTGTCTGAGTGGCTTGTTGTAGATAACAAATATCCTGAAGGTACTTAGCATTGTACATGATACCTTCTAATTTATCCAGTCATCTGCTGGGGGACATTTAGCTCATTTCTACATTTTTAATATCTTAATATTATATGGCCAGTCCTTATCTGAATTCTAGACCTGAACAAGGTATGTCAACTCCATTCATAATTATTTTACATTATTTTTGATTGACATGGAAGAATTTTCCTAAAAGCTGTTAAAACCCTATTGCCTTCCCAGCCAAGAATAGTTACATGGTTATCCATAATAAATGGTTAAGAACATGACAGTAAGAAATGCCTTTTAATGTGGTTCCTGTGTAAGGTATGTTAACCCGTTATGTTGACACAAAACTGTCATGTCACTTCTATGTTCTTGCAGGTCAAACTAAGACTAGTATTGATTTGTTTCCAACAGATAGTTATTGCATGTAGGATGTTCGTTGAGAAGGAGCTATTACTGCTGCTAACTCCCCTTTAGGCACAGCAGCATGGGTGCCCGCCATTCGGAGCTGTTCTAGGTGGATACATATTCCCAACAGCACATCATGGCTCCACAGACCCCATCAGTGTGGGCTACTATGTTTACCCTCTTCCCATTATTCCTTAAAAACACAGAAGCTTCTGCCATTATTGGTTCTAATTAAAACTATGCTTCTCATATTAGTGTTTGGCATTCTGTTTCCTCTAAAATTTACAGTGCCAGCTGTAAAAGTTTATTCCACTCCTGTTACTAATTCACACATCATTACAAGCGATGTAATCAGAAGACTGTAAGAAGTTGATCACTTCCATTGTCAGGGTTATGGGGTTTTATTCATACAGCACATTGTGGGCTCTCTTACCACTTGAGTCTCTGCAGACAGAAATCTTTGCAAAAAGGAAACTGGGTAAAAAAAAAACATCTGAAATCAAAGCCTAATTACCCAACCTCTTTTTGGTAACTTCATAAAAATCAAGATTTATTATGTTCTTTTTTTCCAAAAATGTATCTCAGTGTTTAAGTAAATTTTTATTAAGATCTTGGGGCTTAGAAACTTCTCAGAAAAAAACCTATTACTTAGAACAAGTGTTTAGAACATTCATAATCCACTTCTTTGCACAAGGACTGATTTAGTTCAGCTCATCTCTCCTGTCCTTTGGAGGATGGATTTTTCTTTGCATCAGAACAGGATTTGTTTCCAGAAAAAAAATTTTTTTTCCTTTCCCTTCTCCAGCTTTTTCTTTTCTTCTTCTTCTTTTTTTTTTTTTTTTTTGTTCTTTAACTGGAGATTCAACTTGACATTTACCATTGAACAACTCAAAAGCCATAATGACCCTGGTTCCAACTGGCCTGCCATTCCATTCCACAGTAATCTGCTTCCCTGGAAGGGGGCTTCCTGGTACAGGGGACTGTCACTGTTTGGCTCTGGTGCATAAGACCTTTTCTTTAAATTTGGTTTGCTTTTCTGACACCATCCCACCCTGACCAAATTCCTTAAAATTTGAAATGTTTCATCCACCTGCATCTCTGCCTAAACCTTTTGCTTTTAGATGACAAACACGAGGAGACTTCCAAAACACTTCATTTTTCTAACACTTTGCAAAGCATCCTACCACTATGAATGCCAGGGAATCACGAATCACCCTGTCTTTTCCTGTATCTGAAGTCAGTACATTTTTAATCAATTGTCTAAACTCCAACAGGATTATACTCAGAATTAGCCTAAAGTTAAAATCAGAACTCCTGAGAGTTTGAACCTGAATTGCCATCCTGTTTACAAGTTTACGTGCACCAAATCAATATCTTTATCAATAATTTTCAAACTAAGCACTACTCCTTGGGTCTAAACACAGTTTTTTGTACTGTTAGTCAAGGTTATAATCAAAACTGAAAATTGTCCACAAGTTAGTTTGCTTTAAATGATCTACTAAAAAATGATTCAGATTAATTATAAATGAATTTCAGGTATAAAATGGATTCCTTTCTTGTAAATGTTCCTACAATCTTTGTTAAAATTGCTCTGTAAAAGCTGTTTTCTTAAGCACAACCCCCCTACACACACATTATTCAAGTTATGAATTTAGAAAGGAGTTGGAAAACTTACGTTTGCAGTCTCACTTCCCATCTATTTTCCAGTCTTTGATAGGAATTGTTCACATATCACTACAATTTATATAATAAGATAAACAGGAAACCCAAAACAATGTAAAAATACATTTCATTTGGGTTATTATCAAATAGCAATTTACAAGCACAGGAACTGGCATTGAAAGACCGTATTATTGAATCACTGTAAATTTTACATCAGCGTTTGTCAGCCTGTTGCTTTCTTTTGTTAAAAAAAAAAAAAGTGTAATTCGAATACATAGCCTTGTGCATTCCTGTCATTTTCCCCTGGCTAGGTCAAGCTCCAGCCAGAGTTATGTACTAGAAAGAGAAGTGGGCCATTGTAATATACTCAACCTCTGCTGCTTCATAGAAATAGAGAAGGTACCCATCTCCATTCTAGAATCATTGAAATAACCTTATAGAACGTTTCTTCCTCTAACTCTTTGACATTCTGATTCTTTAATGATGCCTCTGCATAAGTGTACAGCTGAAATCTCTTGGGTGCTCTTCTGCGGAAGACTTCTCACTTTGTATGACTCATCATATAAGACAGTCTCTTACATGAGATGTACTCATTAGTGCCACAGACTTTATTCTGTATCAAAGGAAAGGCAGAGAAGTAAGAAAGGGGAGACCACATCCCTGACACCTCCACAGGGTGGATCTGTGTTTGGTCATGACCTTGGGCTCTGGGACTAGAATGACGAGTCCCAGCCCATCCCAGAAGTGACAGCTGTGACACATGAGCTTGCTATGAGGGAGGAAGCGTGAGTAACCTCCAGCAAGCAGCAAGCACTCACAGCCAAGTAGTGATTCCTAAAAAAATAAAATCTCATCAAGACCTAACAGATTGTTTTATTTCTCCCCATCTCCAAACCCAGAATAATGTCCTGTGTTCTCTGCATCACCTCCAGGAAAATAATCTTCACTTCAGAGGATTGGGTTTTTGGAGAGGAGTAAGCAACAGTTTTATACACTTGAAAGGTTTTGGAGTCAAGGTCATCGTCAGAATCTCTTGTTGAACAACTCATGGGGCAGGGTGTGACTATCCTGCACAGTGACATGGAGCTGCCACCTTGGGATGGCTGCATTCCGTTTTCGGAGAGCTTTGGTCCAAGTTCCAGCTCTCCTTCCACATTCAGATTCCTGCTGGTGACCAACTCGGGAAGCAGAACATAATGGGTCAATTACTTGACATCCTGACACTCAGGCCAGTTCTTGGCTCCTGGCTTTGGCCTGGTCCACATGTAGCTGTTGCCAGGAACTGGAGAGTGAACCACCTTTGGGAGATGTCTTTTTGCCTTTTGAATTAAG